CAAACAAACAAACAAACAAACAAAATATATTAAAGTGCACTCATTCTTAAGGGAACTTTAGTTGCATTATTTCCTTTGCTAATAGGAAGTGTTTAAAGTGTACAAACATGTACTAAAGAAACCTATTCAGTTGCATAATATTGTAGTTTCAACGAACATCACTCCGGCCCCAACAGTTGCTATGTTAAGCAATTTCTGTTGAATGTTGAGTTTGTGATAACAAAAAGGATTCACTCTCCGGCAAAGTAGCTACCCTTTATGTATGTTATTTCTATGGTTTTCCTAAAGTGGATTTTTTTCATTGCATCACATCAAACACACTGCCATTTTGAATTTTCAACAACTCAACAAGCTTTGGTGATTCCTGCTTCATTGACTCTTCTGCTCTAAATGTTCCCATTCCATTATAACCTATGGATGGACTTCTTTAACAGGGACCACACTGGTAGTTGTCTTTTTAGTCGGGAATCTTTTCCAAGTCACAAGTAGATGTCACAATCCCAGTTTGTTTATTCCTGTTCTACTATTAGCCATATCTACCTCTTCACTTTTATTATTCCTTAATGTGTTTTTTTTTAATTTTCACTAATCTTTTCTGGCTTTAGTTTAATAGAAAATGCTTAAGAGTATTTGAATATTACTATAGAATGTAATTTGTAAAAGTTTTTATTCAGGTTGTTGTTTTGAAAGCATATGGAAGTTACTTTTAATGAACATTATCTTAACATATGCTACCTTTATTTAATCAACCATTTGCTACATCCTGGAATTTAGCCTCTTTATTTTTCTTTTGTATCTTTTAATTTATTACATTAGGGGCTATTTTCCTTTTTTGTCTATACTCATAAAACTGGCCACCTCTTTTCAGGGGTTTTGGGTTTTAATTTTATAAAAGTACTATTGGATAGGCACATAATGTAGAACCTGAAATGTGATTTGAATTGCTAAATGACATGCTGTCCTTCTCTTTCCTGTGTTCTCAGGATATAAGCCGTCTTGTAAATTGTTTAGGTTCTTCATTCCTGGATTATTTCCATTTTGTGGGACTATTTTTCATCTTGTTCCACCTTTTTTTATTTATTGTCTTATGAAAATTTAACCTTGGCCGAGATCTTGTCCAAGACATTTCTCAATCCAATGCACATAAACGTACAGTTGTTATATTTATAAACTTAAGTTTAAAATAGACTAACTGTACTAGTTTTGAAAATTGGTGCATTTGTTTTATGAATAAAGAAAATTTTTGTCAAGCATTCAAAGTTGTAAATTCTTTCAGCCAATCCAGGCCACAGCCACAGTAGTCATTCATCCTGGATCTATGTTTCTTCGAATCGGCCGTGCCTCGGACACTATACCTCACACGATACCTCATGTCATAGCACGTCGCCGGAAAACAGTTGGAGCAGTTGTGTATGAAGACCCAATACTTATCCCAACTGTAGATGTGGTGCGTTAATTTGCATATATGATGTGTAGACTCTTAAGTATGACATTCTTTGTATCACATTGTTTACAGGTCTTAAATAGTTGTGAATAATCAATAAATTATTTTACTACTTTAAAAAATGCATCACTATTGATTCATCTGTAACATTCACTTTTAATGTGATTTTAGGATCCAGAGGCACAAAAAGTAATGGAAGAAACAAGAGTTAGTGTGACACGGGTGTTGTCATCATGCCTAACATCTGAAGGTCAACACCGGCATCCTGTATCTTCAGAAAAGGTTTTAATTTGTGGATTTTGTTTGATTGTTTCTTCATCTAAAAATGAAAAGACACGTGACTTTTATAACAAAACTAAAAAAAATATTAATGTTTTTAGATTTATGTAAAGTATAAAAAGTTGTAAAATTATTGTGAAAAAATCAAATTTCAAATACTGCTCAACAAGTGCCCGGCATGGTCAGGTGGTTAGGACGCTTGACTCGCAATCTGCGAGTTCGCATCCCCGTCCCACCAAACATGCTCGCCTTTTCAGCTGTGGGGGCGTTATAATGTGACGGTCAATCCCACTATTCGTTGATAAAAGAGTAGCCCAAGAGTTGCCGGTGGGTGGTGATGACTAGCTGCCTTCCCTCTAGTCTGACACTGCTAAATTATGGACGGCTAGCGCAGATAGCCCTCGTGTAGCTTTGCGCGAAATTCAAAACAAACAAACTGCTCAACAATTCTTTGAAATTCATTATCAGGCAGGTGGCAGCACTGCCTATGTAGGGATGGCTTAGATTGTTCTTTGAAATGGTATTTTAGATATCTCCTCAATAGGTCATCAGAACTTTGCAATACTATACAGCATTGCCTTTTATAAAAGAAAATTTTGAGTTCCTTTAAAAAGCTTAAGTATAGGGTGAAACAGGAATTACCAGCCAATAGTAAATAAACAATAAATATTACAGTTGGAACCTCATTGCATTTAGAACTTGGTTATAAGAACAACCTTCCTATGTCTATTGAAACATTGCATTAAAAAAACAACCAAACAAGTAAAGAAAAATCTTTAAAAAAAGGATGTAAATGTAGGGATGTTTAATATCAATCCTTTAAAAACAATGCAAACAAGATAGTAGGGATGGTATTTGCATCATCCCTACAGAATAGCACAGGCAAGAATTAACATATAGCAATATTATATAATTATACTGTTTGCCTTTGCTATTATGTATGGATGATGCAAATGCCATCCCTACTATTATGTTTGCATTGTATTTGAAGGACTGATATTAGCCATTCCTACATTTACTTCCTTTTTTGAAAAGTTTTTTTTTACTTGTATATATTGAGTAGACAAAGAGTATAAGTTTAGATATCAAAACTGAGTATACAGTGACAGGAAAAGTATACTTGAATAATGTACAATTTCATTAGAAGTGGTATTGCCAAATTTTTACTATTAAATTCTCCAAATTGGACAATACCCCATTCTTCTTATGCAGTAAACTGTTTGTGTATGTTTCTCTTATCAAATTTCTTAAATAACAGAACTATTTAATGGATAAAAATTCTTTATTTTCATGTTACTTTTGTCGACAGAATATTTTGGACAGGTGCATTGACATTTTTGTTCAGAAAACCTTGCACATTAACCGCCTGTGGATTGGTGGGGATCAAAATGTGCATTTAGTGACATTTTTCAAAATTAAATTAAAAATTTAACTAAACAACTTTATTAGCAATTTATATCCAAATTTTGGTATTATTTAAATTTAAATTTCCTAATTTTAAAGGAAATTCACAACAAAATTCTCAACCTTCACTTCCATGTATCAGGTGACACTTGTTTGCTCTGAATTGTTCATTGAAACATTCTTTCCACCCCTATTTCAGATTCTGAATTTTAATACAACTTATAAACTTATAGTATAGATATTTCTGAGACATAATCTAATTGGAAAGTCAGACCCATCTGCTCTGCTGTACTATCATATACTGTCTTTCAAAAAACACCAGAAATTTTCTCTGACATTTGGTATTTCAATTTTTATAACCAATTGAAAGAGAAGATTTTAATTTACTCAATTTTGATGGCAGCCTTTGAATTATTCAGCCTACAGATTCAAAGTTGCTATTGTCATGTTAAGCTTGAACATGGTAAGGGAATTATTTGTCTTCACTTATAACTTAGTCAGGAAACCAGTTAAATTATAATAGTTACAGAATCTTGTATTCTTTGTGTATGTTATTATTTTGCATTCTAACTTCAATATTTGAAATAAGTGAAAATTCAGTAAAGAATTAACAATAACCATAACAATAATTAGGTTTAACTCTTATCAAGGCTTCAAGTGCAAAAATGTACAAGATCTACATGCAAGTACTAAATTTCTTGTTTTTATGTAAATTTGTTATTATTTATTATTATAAAAGTAACTACAGTGTAAAAATTAGAAACTTTTTAGGTTAGATTAAACAAAAAACATAAATTAAAAAGAAAATTATATAAAAAAATTCTCAATGAGGTATGTACTCAAAAATTCACATGTATTATGTAATTCAATATATTATGACCACAAATCAAACTATTTGCTTGTCAGGTGATTTCTTGTTTTGTTATTCAGGATTAGTAGTTAGACATGGTTCAAAGAGCAATAAAACAAACTGAAATTAAAACATATGTAAACTGTTATAAACCTGGGGCAGTTTAGGATAACAAAATTGCAGTTTTCTGTTTCAATATGCAGTCATTGTAGAAAGAAAAAATGGTAATTCAGATTTATTTTTTATTTTTATATAATGCTCACAAAATCAGTCAAATCATTCAAGCTCATATAGTGTTAAGATAGAGAAAATAACAGATAGAATATAAAGTGTTACCGTAAAAAACTTTTGTTATTCATTTAAGAGGTTCTAGATCTTGTTTAAATGAAGCATAAAACTGTAAGATGAAAAAAGGTATTTTTATTTTTAACAAAAATCACCTTGCACTCAGACTAGTCAATCTAAATCAGACTGACTAAAGTAAATGCAGAGACAAACTTTTGTAGTAATACTTATTTAAAATTCTGATTTTTTTTTAGTACACAACATACTTGTAATATTCATTAAAAGTTTACCACATTTTGTAACAATACAGTCAGTAAATTCGAAATTATAGAATTTGTAGTAAAATATTAATTCTCCAATATGGGCTTGGTCCAATAGACTAACCCTGTAGGTTAAGTCAAGTAATTGTTTTGCTATTTCTGAGCCATAACCTCTTTTTTATCTCATCATCTGGGGATTTTACTTGACAACTTCTGAATATGTCTGCCCTAACTTTTACTAACTGCCAAGTTCTTTAAACAGTTTATACTTGCTTATTGTTAAAGACTTGTTACTTGTTTGTAGGAAAATTATGAACGTGTGAAGTAAAAGTGTGAACAGTAGAGAATGTCAGACATTCCAGATGCCTGAGTAACTGTATATGATAAAACTTCAGTTTGAATAAAATTTAAAATTTTTCATGAGATTATCACAGTGTTAAATTATAAATAAATAAATAAGTTTTCTAATAACAAAATAATGATAGAAAATATTAGGTTTTCAGATTAATCCTCCATTGTTTTGTTTTTAAATACAGATTCAAGAATACAACAGGGTTGTAAAACCAAAAATATTGGCAGGAAGTTGTGATTTACACTGGACAAAAGTTGATATAAACCAGGAGTTCATGATTGGAGAAGAAGTAAGTTTGTTAGTACAGTATATAGTTTTGTAATAACGTGAGTATTAAGCAGAGATAAAATTGTATACAGTTTTTATTTTCATGCAATACCTCTTCACAGGGTTTTGTAGTTTCTAAATAGGCTTGTTATAAGTACTAGAATAAATCATTACAAATGTTTTTTGTTTTTGTTTTTACTGCAATGTTTGATTGTTAGAAACCACAGGAAATAACATCTTTTTATTAACCTGTTTCACTCAGATATATAAACATTATTATCATTATAGCTACACCTAATATTGTAAAAATACATTTACAATTTTAAGTTAACATAGGGATCCAGTCCTTTTAAACTTCAATTAGTTTTCAGTACATAAAGTTTGTGCCCCCTGGTGACTGAGTGGTAAATCTGAGGGCTTAACATGTTAAAACTGGGTTTTGAATCCCATAGTGGGCATAGCATGCATAGATGGCCCTTTGTATAGCTTTGCGCTTAACAACAGTAACAACAAACAAACGTAACATGAAGTATGTGTTGATTTTACATTGTACTTAGACTGATATACAATCAGCTTAAATAAAGCTTAAGCTTTGAGAAGATTGCTTAAGTTGAAAATGATTCATAGTTTTAGAAGCTTAGGGCCCACTTTTATAGCACTACTTTAATGCAACTTTGATGCTTCAACTACTGTTTTGCATTTTTCAGTTTAATGATCATTGCCACTTTAATGAAGATTTTATTTCTTTAACTATGTTTCGAACAGTAATTAGTAGGCCTGCTTATTTACATGCTCTAACATAAATCAATGTGAAATTTGAGGTCCGCTTTCAGGAAATCTCCATAAAGTGTTTGCGAAAAACACAGGTTCCCTAAGTGGTTGGGTGAAAAGTTTTACCATTGTGCAAACCTTGGGGCCAATATGATTTGTTTGGCACCATTTAGAAGCTGGTGAGTCCAGCAGTTTAGGGGAAGTGGTTTTCAAGAAATCTCCAGGTTCACCAAGAGGTGGGGTGAAAAATTTTACTTTGTTCAAGTATTAGGATGTTCAAATATTAGATGACTGATTTGGTACCACTTAGAAGTCGGTGAGACCAGTAGTTTAGGAGTTGCGGGACACACACACACACACAGACACTGAATCTTATACATATAGATATATGATCAGTGATATCATGCCAAACTTTCTGTAAGAGTAAACTACTGATGATCAGTAACATCATACAAACTTTCTCTAACAGTAAACTACTGATGATCAGTAACATCATACAAACTTTCTCTAACAGTAAACTACTGATGATCAGTAACATCATACAAACTTTCTCTAACAGTAAGCTACTGATGATCAGTAACATCATACAAACTTTCTCAAACAGTCACCTACAGATGATCAGTAACATCATACAAACTTTCTCTAACAGTAACCTACTAATGGTCAGTAACATCATACAAACTTTCTCTAACAGTAAACTATGTATGATTAGTAACATCATACAAACTTTCTGTAACAGTAAACTAAGTATGATCAGTAACATCATACAAACTTGCTCTAACAGTAAGTTACTGATGATCAGTAACATCATACAAACTTTCTCCAACAGTAAACTACTGATGATCAGTAACATCATACAAACTTGCTCTAACAGTAACCTACTAATGATCAGTAACATCATACAAACTTTCTCTAACAGTAAACTATGTATGATCAGTAACATCATACAAACTTTCTCTAACAGTAAAGCTACTGATGATGGTCAGTTACATCATACAAACTTTCTCTAACAGTAAACTATGTATGATCAGTAACATCATACAAACTTTCTCTAACAGTAAACTATGTATGATCAGTAACATCATACAAACTTTCTCTAACAGTAAGCTACTGATGATGGTCAGTAACATCATACAAACTTTCTCAAACAGTCATCTACTGATGATCAGTAACATCATACAAACTTTCTCTAACAGTAAACTACTAATGATCAGTAACATCATACAAACTTTCTCTAACAGTAAACTACTGATGATCAGTAACATCATACAAACTTGCTCTAACAGTAAGCTACTGATGATGGTCAGTGACATCATACAAACTTGCTCTAACAGTAAGCTACTGATGATGGTCAGTTACATCATACAAACTTTCTCTAACAGTAACCTACTGATGATCAGTAACATCATACAAACTTTCTCTAACAGTAAACTATGTATGATCAGTAACATCATACAAACTTGCTCTAACAGTAACCTACTGATGATGGTCAGTGACATGGAGCTGGACTTGCTTTGCCATGAGAAGGTAAGAAGAGAATAAATATTTATTTCTAGAATAAGTCATTTTATGCTTGTTTTGCTCCAAAAAGTACAATATAATAATTCCCCTCAAGGATTTTTATACACATGATTTAAAAAACTAAAGCAAAATAATTAGAAAAAGTTCTTTAGGTAATAAAACTAGAGTAGCAAGAAGAAAGAGCTTTCATTTTGTGTGTATATTTATGTATATATGTGTGTGTTTTATTGTTTTTCCCCAGGTTTTATACTTGAATCCTTCAGAGAAGTTTAATGTACACTGGCCAATTAGGCGAGGACGTTTTAATTTACACCCTGGTGCTGGAGGAACTCTAACTAGTGTTCTTAGTGATCTTGAAGTAATTTGGGGAAATTGTATTCAACAGTACTTGGATATACCCTTGAAAGATTTGAAAGTAAGACATCAGATAGTTTCAAATTATGAGTATAAATGCTGTTGAAACAAAGTTTCTTCATCTGTGAAAGTGAGCAAGAATGCAAATTACAATGGATAAAGGTTATTGTTCTGAAAGGAATATAGCAATACATTCTTGAAAGTGTAAAAAAATTGAAGTAAAAAAGAGCTACTATTTGCTTTTTCTTTAATTATTTTTGTATTTTTAAACATTATCTTACCAAGTTTCTTGGTCCAGTGCATAAGATCATCTAAATAGCAAGTCAGATCTTCTAAAGACTCAAAGGTGGTTTAATTATAAATAACCATTACATGTTGTATAATAGGAACTAATCCCATATGTCACTCTTCGAGAGGTCATAAATGTTTGGGAACAATTTATCCAGCAGTTTGGCACTTATAAATAGATACATACTTTTGCTAAATAATGGTTTAGCTATGTAGAAAAGGATATGATATTCAGTTAGAAAGCTTCAGTATCTTCCTTTTTTACAGTCAGCAAATGTGATCTTATTTGGTAAAAAATATATAATGTGAGAAAATCAATATTTAAAGAAAGAGAATGTGAACATATGTAAGGTTTATCAACAAATGATTGTTTTTGCTTTAATATGAATGTACACTTTTCCAATTGTTATTATTTTGTGTGTGTGTGAAATATATTTGAATGAAATTATGGTTGATTCTGAATGGTTTAATTAAGTGTGCAATGGGTGAATAATTTTTGTTAAAAAAGTAAGTAAAATATTTTCAAATGTGAAAATGAAAATATTAAAGATACCAGGTAGTTTTAAAAGTAAACAACAGCTTTTAGAAGTGCACAAAAACATAATTCTTTATAGTATATTGCTTTGAGAAACTTTAAGAAATAGTATAAAGTTTTTGATTTTTATTCTGTTTTAATTTCTAGCACTATGGGGCAGTGCTGGTTGTTCCTGATGTATATGATCGCCAGCATGTAAAAGAGACTGTTAACCTACTGCTGAATAGACTTTGCTTTTCTCGTTGCTTCATACATTTGGTAGGTTAATTTAAACATTCTGCCATAAAGAAAACTTTCAAATGAAATTTTCTGAATCAGAAATAGTGATTTTTAACAGTATTAGAAGTTTATTCATATATTTAAAAAGCAAAAAAAATAGGTACATGCAGATGCTTTTTTTACTTGTGTATCAAAATTTTATTTTGTCCAAGTATAACTTTTTTAATATGAATTTCAAACTGTTTTTACTTCTGTAGGAATCTGTGTGTGCTACATTTGGTGCTGGCCTAAGTTATGCCTGTGTAGTGGATGTGGGAGACCAAAAAACTGTAGTGTCTTGTGTTGAAGATGGTATTTCACATGGAGAAACTAGGTTTGTGCTCACCTTATACTATTAATAGTTAAAAACATATATTTTCTTGGGTATTTATTAGGTAATTTTTTTTGCTTCAGTTAAGCATGAACAAAAAATTTAAGTAATTTTTCATAATTGAAGTATAAAAGAATAATTGTATCTTCTTTTCAAGAATTTTTGTGTAACCATAAGAGCATAAAATATTTTTAAAACCTGCTACATTGATATAAACCTAGTGAATAGCAGTTAAACTGCTTCATAAAAAGGGTACTTTGTTATTTTATATGTATGTATATATATCTGCATTCTTTTTTAAGTAGTTACAGATTAAATTTTATGATGATCTATTTGTGAACAAGAATGTAGATATTTTTAATGTCATTACAAAAAATGTTTCTTTTCCAGGCTATGTATGGAGTATGGAGGAAGTGATGTCACTCAACTCTTTCATTTCCTGTTGAAAAAGTGTGGCTTCCCTTGGAAAGATTGTAATCCCTCTCGTCGAACTGATTCCTTACTTTTACAAGAACTCAAAGAAAATCTTTGTCACATAAACTTGGTAAGCATTATTGTAATTACAAAGAATTGTTACAATTGTTGTAATAAAAAAAAACGTTAAATTTTGGTAAAATGAAGATTGTTTTGCCCAAACTTTAATAACATTATTTTTTTTCTTTTTACGACAATTTTTACAGGTTTATATTTTATCATTTTGTAGCCTCATTTGATTGTTATTCATGCTGTTTCCTGTAATTATAATCATTTACAGCATGTTTATAAATTTAAAGTTTCCGAAATAACTCACCCCCTTCTCATACAAAATGAGAAAATGTGAAATGGTGTGTTCATCAAGACCACTTGAGGTATCCTCATGGTATACAAATTTACTTAATTGTCCAATCCAAACCATACCAATTCCATGGCCTATCTTGGAAAGAACCAGTACCAAAGAAGTGACTGCCCACTTCTTTGGCTCATGCTTTCTGGCTTTTATAAATAAGGTTTTGTGGTCACCCATTACACTGACACCAGTAAAAATTCTTTTCATCTGGTGGTCTGATTGGGATCCAGGCACTATTCCAGGTCTCCCCAATACAAATTCTCCCCCACTTTTGTTCAAGTGGAGCACTGGAGACCTTTGCCACTTACCAGTTCATAGCTGCTGGGGTGGTAGATCATGGAGAGTCCTCATTGGTTGGATTTAGCACAATACAGTGAGAAGTAGGAGGGTGGTGACACTGTCAGTGTAGTATGTGTCTTCCCTCAAACAGCTACTGTGCCCTCCTTCTGCAACCAGAGTCTGTCCAGTAGAGTTGAGGTGAGCACACATAATGGCTTGCCAACCACTTATGTGCAGGTGCTTGGTTGGTTATGATTATATTCCACCCATCCCTGTGACACTTTAGGCTCTTTTGTCTTTTCCTACCTTTTATTTTTGACAAAAAGTATACCCTGGTCAGGATGAGATGAGGTCTCTCATGGGTATGCCCCTATGGAACCCCCACCATTGGTTCTCACACTCCATGAGCTTCCTTTTGTATGCTTTCTGAAAGGGAGCTCATCTAGGTAAGTTTTTACATTGATCATTTTCCAATTCAGCATGGGATTCTAGCATTTTTGTTTGAAGAGGTGAGTTATTGTTTCAGAAGTCAGTATTTTCTAAACCTGAAAAATGTATTTCCAATAGCTACCTTTACACACAATCTCCCCACTTCTGCTGCACCTTTTTTCTTCCTTGTCTCATCTAAAAATGAAGTTAGTAGTGCAATTGCATATTTGAAGTTAGTACACATGGAGGTTGTCTCCCTTCCTATTAGTGGAGGGCTATTGTTGCATAATGATATCTTCATGCACTAGCGTAGTTCACATTAAACATGCAATTTTAGGTAGGAATTAGCTCAAGGCAAGTGGCATGCATGCAAATCTTGTAGGTAGATGCATGATGGAAATATAATTTCTGTGTGAAGAGGTGAGTGCATCGGAAGTACATTTTCAGATTAGGAAAATGTAAACATTTGTGGTTTATTATAAATGCAAAAGAAACTAAGCTTGGATAAAAATGTACTTAAAATATAGTGTATTCAATTTGTGTGGAAAATGTATTTATTTCATAATTTCTATTTGAGTAATGAAGGAGGTTAAGAAATTTATTAACTTATTTGTCAGTTTATTTTCTTCACCAAAATGTGAATTTCATTAAACCAAAATTTTTAACTGTCACATATAATAAAATTGTTTAGGTATATATGTATAAACACATTTAAAACATTCCTTTTTCAGTATTTCCAAAATAAAAATATACAATCCAGAATGGCTTGATAAAGGTGTCAATATTCCACTTGTAATTTTTATAGTAATACTTTGTTAGATAGTATAGTATAACCTAGTTTTGTGTTTTGTTTTACATGTGTATGTATAGTAAACTATTATTTAAGATACAAGTCTATTTTTGAAGGTATTAAAAAATCACTGACCAGTTTATTCACTTTATTTCTGTTATTCCAAGATATGTCAGAAACAAACCTTTCAGATTAGAAAATATATTTGAATATTTCTTCACTTATTTTTTATTTTGTTCCAAAATATCTGATTATTAGGAACAAGTCTGTTTGATTAAACAATTTCTTTGATCTTAAATGCTATTTACATTTCAGGTGTAAGCTTTTTTAGGTTATTTTGTTCAAAACATTTTTCTTATGAAAAACTATTTCAGACTAAACTAGCAAATCCAATACTTGTTGTTATTTTATTTCTGAATTTCTCATACTGAAGAACAAGATTTTAAGAATTTACAGTGAACTAAATATGTTTCTTCTTTAAGGATATCTTTGGTATCCAGGAACGAGCTTTTCAGATTAAACAACCTGAATTACCACTTCTTCAGTACAAGATAAAGGTGTGTGGTCATGTTCCTAGATAAATGTTATTTTAAGGTTTAACTTTTTTATGTATAAATATAAAAATATATTGTAACTAAGATTATATATATAATTATTTGAATTTAAAATACTGCAGAAGTTATAACAATTGTTTATTAAACAATTTTTATCAGCCACCTTCATTTATTGTTGAGTCAAGCTTAATTACATTTCTGACAGTGTAAATTACTTGTACCTGATGATGACAAAACCTTGTCGAAACGTTGTACATTTGCTGTTGTATTAAAGTTTTTCTTCATTACCCATTCAAGCCGTCTCCAACCATTATTATTAGTCTTAGTTTTAAAATTTAAAATAATTGTTATCTTCAGGTAGGGGATGACTGTCTAGTGGCACCTCTTGGTTACTTTCACCCAGAACTGTTTGCACTCACAGGAACAAAGAAGGTCTGCACTTTGCAGCGATCAAGAGGCGATCCTGAAGATCCTCACGATGAAGATTATCTTCTACTGACTCAGGTACATGGATAACTTGACTAATTTGATGAAAAATGTGTACGAGTAATTTCAGACTTGCACAGTAGTTACATTACTACATGGAAAACAAGGCAATGTGCAGCATATAGGTCAAGGTTCTCTTGTATTCTTCTTACTGGAAATCTGACCAGTAAAGAATGATTTTTTTCAAAATTGTTTTCTGTCTTATTGTCTCATAATTGATTTGAACAAAAAAAAGTGGAAATTATTAAAAATAATTCTTTGTTATTATTTTTTGCAAAAATGATTTATCATAGAATCTATGGATTGAATTTCTTAGGGATAGTTTTAGTAATTACTTACTATACTGCAGTGATACCCATATGTCTAGAACTCAAATGAGACCTAGTTTAACAGTTTGAAAGTAATCTGGTAAATAAATCATAAGTAATTGTAAGTGCAAAAACAAGTTTTAATGGTGAATGGATACCAGTAGTATGACGTAAGGAAGCCAGTATAAATGTGTAGGAAAATTATCGAAGAAAATTTTCAGGTTTACAGTAAACCTGTTTTAATATTTTACCACCTGGTTTGATATGCTAAGGTTTTAGGTAAAGTTATGTTGCAAGGAGCTGGAACCTATTAAAAAAAACATTCTTTATAAAAGTATTGTCACTGTAAGCCTCATATACTTACAAGCTAGAAAACTTCCTGTTTAACAATTTTAATAAATAAATTAATAATAATAATAATAAAATGTTTAATAAATCTTTAGTGTTGTATGGATATATTTATTAATTGTTTTTGAACATAAAAAAACTGCTGTTTTTTTTAGGATGATAACCTTTTACTTTACTTCAGCGTCGAGGAGCTAAAGATATGACAGATGGAGGTCAGGCTGAGCTAGGAACCCAAAATGAAGACAGTCAGCTGGGTTCAAGTCTGCTTGATGATGAGATGGACACTAATGAAACAGCTCCCTCTGTTACTCTTCAAGAAACTGAAAGAGAACTACAATGTGATCAGCTTTTAGGAGTAGACCAAGCCATCATTCAGAGTATTGATCGATGTGGTAAGTTCATTTTTTAAGAATTGACCCATGTAAAAATTATCATTTACAGGACATGGACTAACATGGTTGAACTCTTTGGTTATATTATGGGTAGGTACATTGCACATACTATGTAACCATTAAATTAACCATGTATGCATATCTTCACGAAATTTTGCAGACTGTCAGTAAACATTATAAGGCTTTTGTACAAAATTGTCATTAATCTGTAAAACCTTATAAATAAATATCAAAATACAGTTTTCAGAAAAAATGTATTTTCTTTAACTGTGGTTGATCAACTTGACTGACCTCATAATCTCCATAAAAAATTAGGAAATAAATCTAAATTACCTTTTTTTCTTACTAGAATGACTGCAAATTATAACAGGAAACCAAAATTGTTTATTCTAAATAGCTTAAATCTCGTAACAATATACACCTATATATATATATATATATATATATATATAC